ATAGTTACATGCATAAATATGAATTATTCAGGTTCAAATAATATCACTTTTTTAAACTGTTTTCTTTTTATTACAATGCATATATATTAACACTTTATGAAATATTGATAGTTTTGGAATGCTTTTATGGGAGCTTTGTTATGAAAAAATATCTTATGAAAATCTTGAAACCAAAGATATATGGATCATGTTCGTAAAGGAAAAAGAGAAAAGTTGCTAATAGGCAGAGGAAAACAATCAGAAGATAAAGAAATACAAAAAGAATTTGCAAGAATTATTAATGAAAGTAAGTATAATTAAGTTATATCTAATTCATTATTTCTCTTATTTTAAACTAAAGTTTTTTTTTCATTAAGCATGGTACGATGAACCACAGATGCAAATCAGCATTTCTGCATTATTTCTAGAGCTATCAAAATTAAAAGCAAAATATGTTAAGGCCGGTTATTCTTACGGGCTCCTTCCAGATAAAAGCATTGATTTAAATGGAATAGATATCATTTATACTGAAGAATTAAAATTTGATAATTATGCATTCGAGGTGATCATTCCTCTTAAAGAAGGAGTTAAACTTCATGGAAAAGGTGACAAGGAAAGTAGACGACGAGCTTGGAAATGTTTTGTGGCAAATGCTGATCTAGAAAATCCTATAGCAAAATTCTGGAAAAGTTACTATCTATCTAAAGGCTACGTTGAAGATAAAAATCTTGAGAAAGCTAAAAAACTTTTCAAGAAAGCCGCAGATTGTGGTTTCACAGCTGCTCAATTTCAATATGCAGTTACCTTGGTGAATGATCAAGAAAAACGAATGGAGTTTTTAAAATATTTACAATTATCAGCTAATCAAGAAAATATGGATGCAGAGTACACTTTAGGTAGATTATATTTAACGGGAAATATTGTAAATGTTGATAGGGAGACTGGATTAAATTATTTGAAGCTTGCAACTTTGAATGATCATAAAGAAGCTCGAGAATTATTGAAAAAGAAAAATATAGATATTTAGATTTTGTTTCTTTACAATATTATAAATTGTATGTATTATTGTTATCATTATTCAATTTTTAATAGATCATTATTTTATTATAAAAGATCTATTATTTTTTTTAGTTTTTAATATTGAATTAGTTTTTTTTAACGTAACGTTAACAGAAGTAAGTTGTAACCTGTATTAGGTAGTAAATATTGCTGCTGCTTAAGCCCTTCACAATATTGCTATTCATCCAAAGATTCTTAGGCTATTCCAAGCAAATTATTTTTAAAGTTTGAAGACAAAAAAATAAAAAAATATCTATTAATGATTATACTAGCTAAAAGACAAAGTTGATAGTGATAAATTAACATCTAAATTTTAGATTGTTATTTTAAATAATATGCATCCAACTTATAATTTTAATGTTCAGTCATATCTGTTGTTGTTAATATAGTGGTTATAATATATTGTGAATATGTGTAAAATATCAATTCTTTAATTTTCTTGCTGATTTAGACAAGTATTATATTACAAAATTTAAACAATAATACAATTAAAATTTAATAATAAAGTAATTTTAGTTTTGAAACCTTTAAAAAAATCTTGTTTATAAAAAAATAAAAGATGATTTTATTTACAAAAATAATTATATATTTGATTAATTAATTTAAATATTTATAAACACTATATAATTTAAACCAAAAGTATATATTTTTATTTACTATTTTTTAAGGATATAAAAATTTAGCTAAAAATAATGAATATTAAATATATAACATAGTTTATTAATTCTTTAATTAGACAATTAATGTCTATTTAAATTTAGTAAAAATCCAAATTTCAATTCTCCCGTTTGATTTTTTTTAAAAAAATAACAATAATCAAATAATAATTTAATAAATAAATACAGCTTTAGCAAAAAACAATCGTTCATATTTATAAAATTTATTTTAATTGAATTAGTTGAATTAACCAAATCATTTAAAAATATTAATTCTATCACTTACTAAAAACAAAGATATTAATTAATATATTAATTCAATTTAAATACATAAATTAGTATAAATAAATATCTATACTTAATTTTTTTGTATTAATAGGTTTACTAGTATATATTGAATCTGGATGCTTCTGTATGATATCTGGTAATTCTTTAATCTTTTTATCAGCATCTAAGAATTTCTCTTTTATATGAAGTTTATGATCACTATAATAAAGCAGACCCTATAGATGATAAAGCTTTAAACTAATTTCATTTGCAGTAGGCAGTTTCTGTGAATCTTGATCCATACATTTTTTGGCTAGTTTTACGTAACATACTGGAGTTCCAGGTGCAATTTCCGGTCGTAATCCATAAATAATCTTGATTGCAAGATTATTGTCAAATGGTAAACCATCACAATGTCTCTGCCCAGTTGACATCTCTGCCATAATAATGCCTAGCCCATAAACATCAGCTGCTGTTGTATAATTTTTACCTAATAAAACTTCAGGTGCAACATAGGAAATAACTCCAAAAAATGTTTCAGTTGGAATATGATCTTTAATTTTTTAGATAATCCAAGATCTGCAATATAAGACCTTATTGCAGTACTGCCAATTTTATTTTGCAAAATATTTTCACTATGAAAATCACTATGAGTATATCCTGTTTTGTGAATTTTTACTAAATCATTTAATATATCTAAAAGTTGTAATAATTTATGTTCCCATATAAGTTCTCTAAATTTATCTTTTAAAAACTTATGAAAATTTCCACTATCAGCAAATTGAAGTACCATCAGATAATCACCAGTCTTAAGATGGTCATTATTTTCCGTAATTTTAGTTAATCCATATATCGCCAATTCACTTCCTATTAATCTACATTGCATATGATTTTTAAACTTTTAAAATGAATTTATATTAATATATTTGTTTAATATTTAAAATACTTAAATTTATGATAACAAAACAATTTTAACGCACTTCTTTTAAACATTCAGAAAGATTTTGAGAATTAGGCAAGGTTTTAAGCACAACCGTAGATGATTTTTTATGTGACCTTACATAGTTACTGACATCATAGCTGTATTTAGTTACTCTGATGCCATCTGACCAAATTGCTAAAAATACTGTTTCATAACCTCCTTTACCAACTTTTTGAATATCATGTAATCTATCAAATGGGATCCATTCAATCACTTCATCATGCATTATAGCTTCATGCTGAAATATAAAAAATTTGCTATTCTCTTGAGTGTACCAGCTTCTATGTCTCCAGTGTAATTAAGTTTATTAATAAATTCTTCAAGTTTTTCACAATAATTTAGTAAATTATCCAATGGTGGCAAATCATAACCTTTATTTTTAAAACACTAGTTCAAAATACTTGATGATACTATTAAATGAATAAAGGTTCCAATCTCTATATATAAGAATATTTTGTTCAAAGAATTAAAATGATTACATACTATTGCCAGTAATAAACAAAAGAAAGATTGATTACATTTGGAATATTTAACAAGAAATGAAGCTTGATGGTTAGTATAATTTAAGTAATGTTACACAGTATATATATGTAAAATAAGACATTTAGTAACATGTAAAAAGGCACTTTGACACTTCACACTTAATTAACTTGTTAGAACTTATTTCACACAATATTATACATTAGATTAAGGTTTTAATTTGAATTCTAATTTCAGTAACAAATAATTCTTTTTTCAGTGACAATTAAAAAGAATTCTATATTATTTGTCACCAAAATTAAGATAAAGAATTATATTTATGTATTGTTTTAAAATAATAAACCCGAATTTTTTTTGATAAGTTAATATAATATGATTATAAAGATTTGTGTTATGTTTAGAGGTGTCATTTTGCAAGGATATACTATTGTTTTTATCAAATCTGAAATATTAATCAACATTTTAACTTGAAACAAATTTAAACTGGCAATGGAATAGATGGCATTTATTTTTTGCGGTCATTTTCTACTAGGCAGCATCCACAATTTACATTAAATCAGTATTATTATAGGAATCTTAAAGACAATACAAACATAATACTAGGAATTACTTTGGTGTGTCCAGATTATCAGTCTTGAAAATTTTCAAATTGTTTAATGATATAAAGTAAATTGAAACCACATAATACACTATTAGGTTAACGTAAATTGTGGATGCCGCCCTATGTATTTTGCACTTGTTCGTTGTGAAAGGCAAGATCAACCAAGTAATGCTGTGGTAATCTGTTGTACAAGTTCAAAAAAATTCGTGAGAGCGGTGGAAATAAAAAGAATAACAAGAATTTAAAAAAATATATGTAATTAGAATTTGTAGAATTCTTCTATATGTTTTCTTCCAAACTAATGATAACTCAGTTATGATATTAAAAATTGCTTCACTCTAATAATCCCTCCTGAATAGTAAATAAAGTACAATTTTGAATTAGAGCCTTGTCAAAGTTCAACTTCAATCTTTGAATTCAGTTTGGCAGACCTATATATTTTTTTAAAAAAAAATTTTATCATAACATTCTTTACAAAAAATTTTTAACCTCAAAATTTGTCAATTGAAATTGAATGAATTCTTTTAAGAATCAACTTCATGTCTAATTAGGAGTGCATATTTCACAATAAAGCCAACAAATTTTACATCGCAAAAATCAGCTGCCTCCAACCACAGGAAAGTTTTAGTCTCAAATTCGTAAATCAAAATTGAATGAATTTATTTTAGATCAACATTATGTATAATTAGGACTGTATATTCTTCACAAAAATTTTCAGCTCTCAAAATTTGTCAATTGAAATTGAATGAATTCATTTTATAATCAACCTCTTTCCTAATTAGGAGTGGATGTTTCACAACCTTGTTTCTAATTAGAACAGACATTTTACAATATACCCAAAAAAATTTACAATACAAAAAAAAATGATATCACATTTAAACTCGGGTTCTAACTATTTATTTCAAAGATTATATACATTTTATACACACACCAAGTATCAAGGCTTAACTAAAAATACATTGTTGAATATTTATTACTAGACTAAGAGTATTTAAGATAGATTAGTAATAATAATATCCTGATCCATTGGGAATTAGTGGAAATGAAGTTTCCGCTTATTCACATACGATCAGGATATTATTAATTAATTCTCCCATGATCATTAATCCTCCCGTGATCTTGATATAGTGATCAGGAGATTATGTATAATTTTACTATTTTTTTTAAGGGAATTTGAAGGCTCAAATAATAATTTAACCAAAGTATCTATGGACTTCTCGCAGGCTATTCTTGCCATGTTATCAATCAGAGCCTGGTAGCAGTCACGTATAAAATTTTTGAGGGCGGTTGATTTGGCTTTTTTATTTCTGAAGAGGTATGTGTAGTTATTAAGATATTTGATTTTTTTTATATTATCACCTGCGATCCAATCATTTCTAAGAACAATTTCTTTTTCAAAGTCCGTGAGATATTTTTTAAAAAGGAAATATGACTTGTGAAATGTCAGAGTTGTTAACGTAGCCACGGCATCTCTAGCTGTTTGTTTATCAAAGGCCAATGCAAATATCCAGTATTTTCTAATAGACTTATTAATCGTATTCAGGTGTCTTTTGAGATGTCTAATCATAATATCATTATTGTTGTAAGGACCACGATCAGCAAGCCATTTGTAGAGGAATGGAATATGGTCTTCTGCCAATACTTGCGATACAATAATGTCATTAGCGCTCGTGCGTCTTATGAAATCTGGATCATACAAGTTATCAATGAATTCATCCACATCTAGCCAATGTCTTAAAAGTTCAATGAAGTTAGCCCTATAGGTGACCTTATGTTCGTAAAAGATTTGTAACTTTGCGTGCAGAATTTTGGTAAAGGTGTTTGCAATGAGGAACAGTTTTACTAGATCTCTTGGGTTCATTATATATATAATCTTTGGATCTAGGAGTTCTTTGGCAATAGTTTTTGCGATTTGGTGTGCTTTATCTGTGTTTTGTTTAGCTTCTTTGAATAACAAGGTTTTGAAGACTTTATTTCTAAACACACGCATGAGAAATTCAGAGTGTGACATTGTTGTCAAGGTCTTCTCCTTTACCATCTCAAGATGTTTTTCGAATTCTGATGAGAATATGAATGGAAAGCGTTTCTATGCAAAGGGTCAAGTGCAATTCAAACCATCCTCTTATGTGAATTCACCCTCTAATACCACTTTAAAGGTTAACTCTACTTGGTACCACATTATTATTTCTATAACATCATTAATGAGTGGTGGGGTAACAAGATTTACTGACATGGATACAATTGTAAATTTTTTGTAAATTAAATGGACAATTCGTCTTTTGTTTGGTCAGACAGGTCTTCTGCATTTTCACTGTGTAATATTCTTGCCTTATTTTGAGTTATTTTGTAGTAAATGGGTCTGGATCTTTTTCTGATATTGTTGGAGAACTGCATGTTTATTGAACATGATATGTGTTGGTTTTTATAAAAAATTAAAAACTGTTGATTGAAACTTTGCTCGCTGTTGAGCGAAATAATGAGTTTATATATTTTTTTGCGAACAGAATCAGAATTTTTAATCTGCGTCCTGCCTAGCATTAAGCCGATTAGACATCTATGAACAGGACCCATATTTATAATATTTTGAATTAATAACTAATAAAAATATCTATAAAAATAGCATTCGTTCAAAAGACCAAATCTAGACTTAATAGTTGACACGTAATACACAAATTACATATATGCTTATTAATCTTAAAACTCTTTGTATATAGAATTTCAAATTAAATCTATATTGAAAAGGTATAGTATATGATAAATTAACTACTCGGAAATATGCAAGAATTTTTGTTCAAAATTGTCCTTGCTTCAGAAATCAATTAAGCGATTACGCAAAGGTTGTGTCACTTTTAAATTAAGTAAAGGTATTAAACAATGAAATAGGGCTTAAGTAGGCATAGTATGCGATAAATTAATGACCCGGAAGTGTACAAGAATTTTTGTTCAAAATTGACCTTGTTTCAAGAATTCATTTAAATGATTATACGAAAGTCTATGCTTATAATTAAAAATGAATTAGCAGAGTATAGCCTTTACTCACATATTGTGTCCAATCTTGTTAAATAAATTAATTAAAATATGTAATCTGAAACTATGTTGTCAAGGATTACTAATTGCATTACTTTTGCTTTCTTTTTAGTATTTTCTATAACTCAGTCTAACAAATAATAACTTCATTAGTGACGTGTATGATACTAATATCATTGTGAAAATAGCTTTTAAATTACATCTATATTGAAACACACAAAGCACAAAGAATTTTTCCTAATTGTATCATTTAAAGGTGTGTACAATACGTGTGTCATCTTTTCTTTTGGCTTCATGCTCCTTTGCTTTTTTTTAGTGATTTATTTTCTTGTTCAATTTATATATGATGGTCTACCTGTGCATCTGCCTGATCTGGTAAACCAAATAATGACTTCATTAGTTACTCATATGATACTTGTTTCAGAAATTATTTAAAAATAAATAACTATTCACAAAGTAACTTAGTATTACGCGTGCTATATACAAGAAAACATAAAAATTTATTATAAGAATCTATTTTTAGACTTCTTGGTTTCAACTACCCACCAGTATCTTGCACAACACCAATACAGAACACAAACTTTCCATTTAATTATTTATACTGTAAGGTTTTTTTTCAGCTCATTATTATTCCCTTTCAAACAAAGAATTTTACTAGTTGTATCATTTAAATGACATGTGTCATTTGCAAGAAACATAACTGGTATCTTGCAAATACCAATACAGAACACAAACTTGCCATTTAATTATTTATATTGTAAGGCTTTTTCTTTAGTCTTCACACACTTTTTTATTACCCTTTAATGGAATATCTATATTAAACCTCATCACTATTTATGTCAGAATTACTAATTACCTTTGCTTTTAATATTATTCTTGTCAAGTTGTGTTTCAAAATCATTTAAAACTGAATAGACCGGTCACAAATAATATTGTGTATTCCAAAGAATTTTCTTAGTTGATCAAATGAACTTACGAAAATGGCTTAAGGTTTACGTGCAAACAAATAATAGAATTCGAATTTATTATTTTGAATAATAAATTCGGAGACTTACAAGTTGTACCAAGAATAATATATTCATAATATAGTGTCTCAAAAGAATGATTAAAAAGAATTCTTGGTAAAGATATAAAAAGATGCACCAAATTCACAACTGCAAAATAATCTGGCCAAAAAGCTATACCAAGCTAGCCATTAGAGCTGTAAAAAAATAGTCAGTTAATGTACCAAGAATAATAAAATATATAATTTCAATTTAAATAGTGTCAAAAGAATGACTAAAAATAATCCCAATTTCCAATCTCAAAATACAGTAAAATTAAATCTTCAGTCAGAAAAAAATAGTCCTCTACTTCGTCAAATTAATCGGTACATAACATGTGCAAAACAGTGTATTATAATTACTGGGGCTAGTATTTCTTATAGTGGTGGAATACATGGAACTCTTGAAAAGTTACAATGTAAAGTTTGTACAAATATTTATGAGTTTACGCTGCAATATTGTGAAATTTTCAAGCAAGGTAAAGCATCAAAATGCCCCAGATGTAAAAAGAAAGGTAAGTATATAATTTTTTTTATCAATTAGATTTAAGTTTTAGTAGATTTAATGATTAATTATTTTACTTAAATAATAGAAAATGTTCAGATAAAAGAAGGAAAGCATCCTCATACAATTGGACAGCTAGAACCAACAATAATCCTGTATGGTGATTCACATCCTAAAGGATTGGAAATTAATCAAATCGCAGCACAAGATCAACATAAAGC